CGCGCCCCCGCTAATTAGCATGTATTCGTCCCGTGAAACCGTCGTTTTATTTCTAAAATCTAGGTCCGCGCCCCCGCGGGGCAAAGTTAAAAAAATGAAACTCCGCCCCGCGGGGGCTCGCTTATTAGCGTGTTTTCGTTCCGCACCCCTGTCATTTTAACAAATTCTCGACTTTTCTCTTCGCGTGGTCGCGGGACGAAAACACTCTAATAAGCAGGGGCAGGCGGCAATATTTTATATATTAAACTCCGCTTCGCAACCCGCTAATTAGCGTGTTTTTCTGACGCGACCCCGCCGTTTTTATTTCATAGATCTTGATCCGCGCCCTCGCGGGGCGAAGTGTTATTGATTTAATTTCGCCCCGCGACCTCGCCACCTCGCCAATAAGCATGTTTTCGCTCCGCGCCCCCGCCATTTTAACTTATTAATTTTCGACTTTTCGCTTGGCTTGGTCGCGGAACAAAAACACGCTAATAAGCAGGGGCAGGCGGCTATATTTTATTTATTAAACTTCGCCCCGCGCCCCGCTCATTAGCCATTCGTGTCATTTTTTCGTCCCGCGACCATGCAAAGCGACCACGCCATTTGAACTTATTAATTTTCGACATTTCGCTTTGCGGGGTCGCAAGGCGAAAACACGAATGGCACAAATCAGCCACCATACTAAAATGAAAAGTCAGGCCAAGCGAACAATAACTTTGGTGAAGAGTCGGAATAACAAAACTACGATGGTATACAGTCGATTGCACAAATGATAAATTATCGGAAAAGTCGAAATTACGTAATTACGATGTGTTTAACATTGTACTTTCGGCCTTTCATCATTTAAGTGTCGTTATTTCGGTAAATTATACGTTTTTACTTTTTAAACTTCGTAGTACTTACTAATATTATATTGTAAAACACGTCACTTACATTAGTCACAATTGTTTGATAAACTTAAATTTATTGTTAGTAAAATATATATCTACGTACATGCGGCTGTGGTTTGTCTCCAAAGAACTGTAAGTTTACGAAACCGCCTCATTTTGTAATTTCCACCGATGTTAATTGCCATCACTATTAATGGCTTTTATGAGTCTTTTTTTCGCACAAGTTAGACATTGAGAGGGAAGGAGAAATGTGTTTGAATTCATTTATCATACCATAACTTTTAGTTTTAATTTCTTTACTTAAAATACACGAGGGACTGTCGTGTATAAATGTTTATGACCACTCTTACTATGTTCATGAATTAACACGTCGCAGACATAGTGTTTATATCCTACATAGAGCCAATTGTATTTATAATTTGATATGTTTATGGACCAAGTTACAGTGTACAGTTTGACTTTACTTTTTGTGACAAAAAAGCAATATTTTTTCAAATGTCCACACTTTTCGTTTTCGATTAGAACATATTTTCTTTTAAACATTAATTATGGAAAAGTAAGATATTTTAATATATGAAGCCTGTTAGTTTACGATTTTTTTCTCATAAAATATGAGACCTGTATGATGAATATCAAGCAAATGTGATAAAACATTTACTTTTAATTGATGTTTTCATAAAATTGAACAAACGAATATTAAATTATAGTCACACATTATTCATTTATGTTGAATATACCACTTTGATTAATGTAAAGATAGTAGTTTTTGTATTTTTAAATGAAAATGTTATGTGTTATACATAAAAAACAGTTAATTGCAGATCGGTTATTTCAAGTTGATTAATTGACTTCTCACCTTAGGGCTTCAAAACATCCTGTTGGAACGAACAAAAATTCCCATTCCCATAGATAAACACACATTACCGCACATGAATAAATTTAATTAAACCGTATCAGATATTTTCATTTCATTTATATTTTTTGTTATCTCGCGGGATATCATATTTCTGTATGTGCATCATATAGATTCCTTTTCAAACTCTTTTTTTCTCTATTTGTTCTTTTAAATTATATTTTATATGTGTGCTTAAAGAAGCTATTAGAAAAGAATGTTATATGCACTTGGGCAAATTCGTGAAATAATATTATGGACCAATTTTACAATAAAAACCTATTGTTTTTTCCCCAACAAACTTCATACTTTTTTTTCATTATTTTTTTATTGATAATAAAATCCATTTATTTTAAAATGGAAAATATATGAATGAAGAATGTTTGGATGGAATATTGACGATGTCTGTTTGGCTTAATACTTTATATAACAAAATCATTTCTATTTAACAGGTCTTTGTTTCAACGGTCAAATTTAATAGAGATGGAATACATCGATTTAAAATAGGAAACACGTTCTGGAACTAGGTCTGGACAAATCATACGAATCGGTGCCTTTGCGCTGTAATTTTCTCCGTTGTTCTACGTTGTCTTTATCCGTTCAATCGCTGGCCTAGTCGTTAAGGTGTGCCTTTCACGGGTTCAAGTCTTGTTAGGGGCAAGACCATGTTTCTCTATATGACACCAGTACTGGTTCGTTCCAGGAAGCAGACTCGAAAGTGAATAATATAAGTTACAAGAATTGATTGTTTCGCAATCGAGCTTAAATAAATATGGTTAAACCAAATCCGTTCAATGCATTAACATTCTGACCAAATTGCAAATCTCCCTCACTTACTATGTTATTTTAAAAGGATTTATTATTTGACAATATTTAAAGCGCATACCCATATTAGTACCCACTTTGCGAAATCTACTAAAACGGTACCCTCTTCGCTCAGAAAACAAACCAGCGATTGGTAACAATCCAGAGAAAATTCATTGTAATGAGGAAAGAAGGTATGCATATGGAAAAGATGTATACAACGTAAAACTATGATGCTTTTCTATATGTATTTTTATATTATGTTCATTTTTCTATTATTGCACATATTTCCTATATGGCACCTAAAACAAACTACATAAAATCTACATATCTTGCCTCGCTAATCGTACCGAAATATTTTTGCGGGCTTAATATCTGCAATATATGCAGGCTTCATAACTTCTGATCCCCTTTCAAATTATATTTATTTAGTTTCGTCCATTGTTTTCTCGTTTAGGGAACACGCATTCTTTTACTTGAGGACCATATGCAGCTATACCGCTTAAGCCGGTGCTAGGGGTTGGTGGACGGTAACTTGCACTTACCATTACCGTCCATGAACAGGCTCAATCAAATCGAGCCTGCTACAATTTTCCGTGTTGGGCTTTTTTGAGGATTCTTATTATACCCCCGCACAACAAAGTTGTAAGGGGGGTATACTGGAATCAGCTTGTCCGTCCGTCCGTCCGGCTGTCCGGCCGTCCGTCCGTCGGTTTTTTCTTGTCCGCCCAATAACGTAAGATTCCTTTGACCTACAGTCTTCATATTTGGCATGGAGGTTAGTCATGATAAGTAGATGACCCCTATTGATTTTGAGGTCACTAGGTCAAAGGTCAATGTCACAGGGGCCTTGACTTCAAAAAGCTTGTCCGCCCAATAACGTAAGATTCCTTTGACCTACAGTCTTCATATTTGGCATGGAGGTTAGTCATGATAAGTAGATGACCCCTATTGATTTTGAGGTCACTAGGTCAAAGGTCAATGTCACAGGGGCCTTGACTTCAAAAAGCCTGTCTGCCCAATAACGTAAGATTCCTTTGACCTACAGTCTTCATATTTGGCATGGAGGTTAGTCATGATAAGTAGATGACCCCTATTGATTTTGAGGTCGCCAGGTCAAAGGTCAAGGTCACAGGGGCCTTGACTTCAAAAAACTTGTCCGCCCAATAACTTTAGATTCCTTTGACCCACAGTCTTCATATTTGGCATGGAGGCTAGTCATGATAAGTAGATGACCCCTATTGACTTTGAGGTCACCAGGTCAAAGGTCAAGGTCACAGGGGCCTTGACTTCAAAAAGCTTGTCCGCCCAATAACTTAAGATTCCTTTGACCCACAGTCTTCATATTTGGCATGGAGGTTAGTCATGATAAGTAGATGACCCCTATTGACTTTGAGGTCACCAGGTCAAAGGTCAAGGTCACAGGGACTTTGACTTCAAAAAGCTTGTCCGCCCTATAACTTAAGATTCCTTTGACCCACAGTCTTCATATTTGGCATGGAGGTTAGTCATGATTAGTAGATGACCCCTATTGACTTTGAGGTCACCAGGTCAAAGGTCAAGGTCACAGGGACTTTGACTTCAAAAAGTTTGTCCAACCATTAACTTTAGATTCCTTTGACCCACAGTCTTCATATTTGGCATGGATGTTGATCATGATTAGTAGATGACCCCTTTTGATTTTGAGGTCACTGGATCAAAGGTCAAGGTCACAGGGACTTTGACTTCCAAAAGTTTGTCCACCCATTAACTTAAGATTCCTTTGACCCACAGCCTTCATATTTGGCATGGATGTTGATCATGACTATAAGGTGACCCCTATTGATTTTGAGGTCACTGGGTCAAAGGTCAAGGTCACAGGGACCTTGACAAAAAAAAAAAGCTTTTCTTCTCAATTGCTTAAGAATGTCCTGTCCGCAATGTATTGATTTTGACATTTTCACATTTGAAGCAAGTAGAATACATTACTTAGCAATGCACTGGCTTAGTAACCTCAGATTTGGCAGGGAGGTTGTCCTTGAGCTCTAAATGGCCACTGTTGATTCTGACAAAGTGGTATGCGGGGGTATTCACGCCATGATAGTGGCAGTTCTAGTTTTCTCTATTTTAAATTAACCAATGGCTTGATTATGTTTTGCATGTGTTAATTTATATTCAAATCATCTTCAGATAAATTGCAAAAGTTAGTAACAAATAAATATAAAATGTGATGAAAACACTTTCGGTTTTGCAGCGGTACGGGCTACCTGTTTGCTTTTAAAGTAAATCATAAGCAACCTCTTTGAGTATGTACCGTTTGAGTAGATATCGCGAAGAGGCTACCAATATATGGATATGCACCATGTCTTACAAAACTTTGCATCGGTTTAAGTAGTTTTTAATCCTTATACATTGAACCTACCCTAGGTCCAGAAAAAACAACAACATTTGAGTTGCAGATTACTTTTATTTCTCCTGAAAAGCACTTATACATTGAAATGAAATAACAAGTATGAAAGAGTTATCTTTTATAAAAACATGTTAGAACAATCAGCAATTTTATTCAATCATTTATTTAAAGTTGATTAAAATAATATAATTTGAAAAAATGAAATTGTTACTACATTAATTGACATTATTGATTGTTTCTTAAACACTTACAAAATTGCTTGATTACATTATGATTATAAGGATCAACTGAGTAAATTTCTTTAAATGAATTTTTTTGAGTTATCAAACACAGTTCCTTGAAACAGTTCAACTATTTAGTGAAAACTTTAAATTTACATCCAAAAACGATCTTATTTCAGTTACTTTTCGTTGATCTTACAAGTTAGGCAATTAAATGAGGGAGGAAGCAAGAGACGAAAGGTAAAAGGAAATACTGAACAACCGGTAGGATGGACAGGTCACAAGTTTACAACAATATCAAAATGATTATAGTAAGTCACAAATGAATAACTTTATAAATCAAATTCGTTTAGCACATGCGACGACAATTGCATTGGCGTATATCATGTAGCATTTCTTTCTAAAAAACAATGCAAATTTTCTTTTTTCTCCAATAATGATTAATCTACATTTGAAAAAAAAAATGAATTAAATCTTTCTTTTTAAAACTGAAATATGCAAACGTGTACTTGAACTATATTTTTAATGATAAAAGGTGAAATATTTATGTTTAATATATTAAATGTAATATGTGATTTCTGATTGATAGGACATTTTCCTGCTTTCCAAAAAAAATATATTGTAGGAAAACAAAATAAGATTTACAATTATTACATAAAACAAATTGGAGTCAGATCTAAAATAATAAATACCATTTATAAGGTAGAGAAAATTTCGTATTTTGAAATCTTACACCGTGAAAGTATCCTCGTAAAATATTAATACACGACTATGTAGTTTGATATTTGTTAATTTAGGTGACATAAATTTCTGTTGCTAATGGCGTAATGTTCTTACTCTCAATTAACAATTTATATTACATCACGTCACACTTATGAATTCTTCATCTTGTAGGTATATCTATAAAACAAAATGAATACACACACAAAAATCATAATAATTACAATTATGTCGGTAATCAGAGAACCATCTTCATTAAGATTTATCAAAATAACATCATTTAATTTATAATTATAACACAACATAAGACTATCATTTCACATCTCTAAAATATGATTTTGTGTATCCCTTGTATCTGACTCAGTATTTCCCCTGTATGTGATGGAAATACAATTCAGTATAACGCCTGTATACCTCAAAAATACAATTCCATCAAAAAATGCCCTGTCCATAGAGTCACACTTAGTCTGTATGGGCCTTTGGTCGCACAAAATTTATTTAAAGAATCTAAATTCTTTTTTAAAAATCTCTCTACATTTAATGTCTTTATACATGTATTAAGAAGCGTATACAATACTATTATGTATTTTTTATGAAAACAAATAAATACTTTTGTAAAAAATGTTTATGGAAAGTAAATGCCTGTAGTAGCTACATTCGCTTCTTTTGAGTTTTTTTAAATCGTTTAATTTTTCCTTACTGTCATCTAAATAATACTTAGTCAAATATGAGAATTTTTTAAGTTCTATGCAGTTCTAAAAACAAAATCAGGATCGTAACATTCCTGATTATGTATATTTTCATACATAGTTTAAACAAGTAAACTTGGTAGATGACGCACAAGACTAATAAACTGCATCTTTTCAGTATTTAGCAATTATAACTATGATAAGGCATGTCAGCAGATATATCTTACACACAATGTTTCTGATTAGATATTTTGTGAAATTAGAAGGATATTATAGCTATATGTAAATAGTTTCTCTTTTGATTACACTAAAAAAGTTAAGTTAAAAATATTTGAATTTTCAAACTCAAGTGTCAATATAATTTTGTCTCACTTAAAATGTGTAAGGTTATCGCGTAACTTGATATATGATTAACTTATAACTTAATAACATGTATGTATTTGTTCAACATCAAGTATAAATTTTATTTAACCTTTTTGATTCAAAATTTTGAGATTTCATTTTTAAGTCTATGCGTGTAAGTCAAATACATGTTTTGGAATACAGATCAACCCCGAATTGATAACTGATATGTGTGGGATCAGCTGAATTCACCATTTCGAATGTAATAATTCCTGTCGTACATGCTACCTTACCCTCTTGTGACCATATTTCGAAAGATAAGCAGATAGGGTTACTGTTACAAGCTATTTTACAGTCTTCCAGGCTGTCATACGCCGCATTGGAACCATGGTTAAAACCCGCAATATTTATGTTTTCGTATTTCGTATAATTGCCGGTCATTGTGTCGCATACTGAAATTTAAGATGATTTCTAAAATATATTATTTATTGACTTCATGGGCAAATTTATAGACTAATGAAAAATAAGTATTTTCAGCTCTTAATTAGAAAAAAATATGCATAACAAAGAAAATTTGAATGAACTATTTGTGTTATTTTTCGCATAATTCTAATATCTAAATAAAATAAATTACATGCAAAATCTTTTTAATAATATCCCAATTCAAGGATATAATTGTTTTATTTCATACTAATTTAGTAGTTCTCAGGCATAATTTTACAAATATTCTGGGAAGGGTTTAATCTTATAGTGCATGAAATTAATGCTTAAAACTTGCTTATTTTTTTAACTTATTATTGCATTTGTTTTTTGAAGCAATAAAAGGCAAAATTTAACTATACATGACAATACGTCCATTTTAATGCTATGGTAACTTTTATAAAATGCATGTAATACCTTTTGTACAGTTATTAATTGTGTTATTGTATTCAAATAGTTGGTGACAGAAACATCTTTCATCTATACACACACCTTCTGTTTCTATACAGTCTGTATTACTTGTGCAAGACTTTCCAAGAGTCGGTGCTAGGAAAAGAAATAAAACTATGTTTTAAAATTAATTAAACATTTAACATAGATCAAGTTATGCTGTAAGTTACATTATCCTTGTTTGAAATTCCACACACATGTTTCACATTAGAGCTTCAGATGGAAATTTTTTGACATACTTGAAATATAACAATATAAAAACTTAAAAAAAATGAGATTTTATATATAATACCCGAATAATATAGTCAACAATGGAATCTTGAAATGTTATCTGATGCAGAAAACATGATTGCTTGTTCAGAAAAAGCAGTGACAAATGTAACTATTCGCTTAAGCCTCAAGTACCGTCTTAAAAAGAAATAATCATGGTATTTAGTAACATCTGCAAATGTTTTCATGCGGTGACGATACTTGAGTCTTCAATATGACTTGTTTGTGCCATTTGAGGATAGGTGACGTATTGTAATCAAGTTATCTATAATGTTCACAACCTAAACTAGAACAATACGGGCAAAATTCAATAAAATGAAGTCAACTTTTCAGAAGGGTTTAAATGCCATTAGTAACAAATACACCATTTACACCACCAAGGCGGTGATACAGTGTTTAAGTAGGATTATTAAATAACTATACGTTAAAAGTCCGATAAAAAACCTGCCACGTTCAATAACACGATGACCTGCCTTAAAACAGGGCCAATATCTATATCACTTTTTCGGCCCCGGGCCGAAAAGTGATATAGATATTAAGCCCGCATTTGAAGTAATTTGATTGGCTAATAAAGCAGGGCCAAATAATGATATAGATATCTGCACGAAACTGGGAAATGGCAGCCATTTTGTTTTAACTCGGTCTATGTGTAGACGCCGACAGGTTGCATAAATGAAACAAAATATTCTCAGTTTCTAAACATTCACATTCACATTTTGTTGAACATGTACAATATAAGTTACAAAATGTAGGTTTTCCATACAAACTGATAAAATGTAGTTATTTTTACAGTTGTTCTTCGTTATAATTAAAATATGTTAGAATTAAAATAAGAAGAAATATCCGAGGATTTGATATGAAATATTATAAGTACATTTAGTTATTTAATAAAATTGTCAATAAATAAATGATTTGATATTGGCCCTGTTATTTGTCCTCGGGTCAGTCGTAGTGGCCCTCGGCCTTCGGCCTTGGGCCAATACGACTGCCCTCGGACAAATAACAGGGCCAATATCAAATCACTTATTTATTAGCATATAATATTATAACCATTATATTACTTACTAGGGCATGATTGCTCATTACAAGGTTGTGTCTCCTCACTAACCCCATCCGCTTCTTCACACGTCGATTCTCCGTTGCCCTCTATGCGAATAGAACACTCTCTCGATCTTTTTTGAGTACCCGAATCACAACTTAGGCTGCATATGCTCCATGGTGACCACGTGGTCCAAATATAGTTAACAGCTGAAAATCAAAGTCAAACCATCAACAAAACCAGATTGTATAGTATGTTTATTAAATTATTTTATTTATATATTAGGAAATAATACACAATAAAAAGTTTTTTTTTTAAATAAGATCAACATCAATCATTTTAATAACTATACATTCTTATTACCGTATCTTGTATTCCGAAAAGATGCTTTGTTAATGTAAATAATGCACACTTTATTGCTTTTACACCATATTCAGTAATTCTGTATGTGACATATTCTTGCTAACGCGAGGAACAGGATTTTGCCAGGCTAAATGATAATGTTAAATTCATAAACACATATCCTAGATAACAATAACACAAACTAATTTATCAAATTTTGATTGGTTAAAACACTTTGTATACAATGGCGGTTATACCGTCAGTAATCAAATCAAACATCGTAGACGGTCACCTACATGTGTGCTTATAAATTATATTTGCGTTTTGTTCGTTATGGTATATAAGATGTCATTAAAATAAAACTAGATCTACTGAAAAACTGTAGATCTTGTATCGATATCAAATGATAAAAATAACATGCTAGCAGCAGTAACGAAATGCCGGTTTTCTCCTATATAAACGAATAACATGCCTTTAATATTAGTTTGTCATTTCTTTTATTATTGGTATTTAGAAACCGAAACAATATTCTAGTAAATAATATCAAAAACACAGCCTATTCTTAAAGTTAGATAAAAAAATTCTTATGTATACATGTACATATTTATGACAATAAAGTAGATATAAAATATCTATGCTGTTTACACATTATAAAAGATGCCGTATTTAGGCTCTTTCATAATTTGAAAAGACCTCTTCAGAATTTCAAAATGCCAGTTTTACAACTGAAAGAAAAGTTTATTTAGCAGTGTCACCTGAATACTTTACGTTACTTTCAGCTAGATAAGAGGTTTTTAGAACTTCATGATGGATTTTTCCAATATTTTAATGTTTTCTAAAGGTTTAAATAAGAAAATGTGTGTTACGAATTGACTTTCAAAAAGTGTATCAAACTGTGCTTCTTTCTTCTTTCACAAATTATTATTGAAAGTAGTGCTAAAAATTTACAATTTCAAGAATGGTCTTTTACAAATCAAAATGACTAAAGCATCTCACAATTTAGGGGAAAACCCTGAATGAGTTCACACTGTGTCAAATTTTCCTCACATGTATTAAATGCGTTTTTGGTGGTTTTAAATCACAGATGGGGGAAAGAATCTTCGTTTCATATGAATAGGATCAGTTTATTTAACAAATGGTTACGAATTGCTGGATGTCGATGTTCAAGTGGTTTTGGTTGTTGACTTGGAATCATTTGCCCCTCATCAATGTATATTCGAATCATGTTTAACTTAAAGACTTCGGATTATTTCATGTGAGGAAGCAATCCATTTTTTTAAAAGAACTTCATATTTAACCACATTTAACTTACTCTAAGGTACACAATATTCATTAAAAATTAATTCAATTAATACCACAGACAAGCAAATTCGGCTTGGATATTCAATATAAAACATTCAATTACGACTGAATATTTGTAAAACTGTCCTTAAAATACATCAAGAATATTTTTTGCACTAATGAGAATTGAAAAAAGAAGAACTTGATATTTCAGTGGAAACATAAAATGAGTAAATAAAACAGATTCTGAAGTTTGTCTTTATAACTAAAATGTAATCTCTCAATTATGATCTTTAAATCTGCTAAATGGATTAAGTCGTTATAACTGAACTAAGAAAATATGACAGGAGTATTTACCTCTCCTCGTGTAATACAAAAACCCGTCGGCAATTTCCAGTTCTGAGTCTTCAGAATCTCTACAACCGTCGCATCTCCCTGTCTGTGGTTGGTAAAATATGTCAACACAGAACGACGACCCTTTACAATACAAAGCACATTGAATATCGCTGTAAACTTTGTCCATACTAAAATCGCGTTTAGACTCAGGACACGTATAACCGTCAAACACTCTTTGCCTCCGAAAAACAAAGAATTCTGACGAGTACAACAGGCAAACCCACATGCCAAGTACGAAATAGAAGAGGACATTGACCGATGCCGTGTTCCTCATGTTGCCTGTGCCTCACGATTCTGCAATTACCTTTTAATTTCATTTTTTTATATAATAACGAATATCGCGCATGCTCATTACTGCCAAAGTTCCGCTCAGAAACATACAAATTATAGTTTGGCATTAAATTTATTATGCAAATTGAAATTACGTTAGAATAAAAGATGAAACATTAAATAAATAAACCAGAATATCTACTGAAATGTGAAGTCTAATACAATGTTTGAAATTGAAAATATTTACCATGTCAATTTGTCTCCACGTCAATAAATATTGTAGTTTTTGAACGTAACATGATAAAAAAAGACAAAAATGTGTATAATCAGGTGATCACTTATGTTAATTAACCGACCGAAAATTTACTTTAGAGAATACAGGTGAAACATAGTAAATAAAACGTCAGCGTAAATATGATTCATTAAAAAATATCACGAAAACTAACATTTTTTAACATGATCACATCTTAGCGCTTAAAGCAATTCTTGCTGCTTTTTAAAAGTGGCGTCTATTTTTTAAGCCTCTGTTTAAGATTAAATTTAATTGGCCGAATATATTTTTTGAGTCCAGGTAAGATAGATTATTCATGTAAAAAACTGGGAGCCAAGCCTCGGTTAAAATCGGACAGATTTGGAGTTTTATGTTGTTTTCTATTGTTTCCTCAATAAAACCCTGCCATCCTTATCGTGTCTGGTAAGCCAGAAAATACATAAATAATGATTTGTGACAAAATATGCAAACGTGTATCTATTTTGGTACATATCGACTCTGTCGCTGTTGTTAGAGCCATTATCAATGTAGACTTCTCTTTTAATTCTTTTTTCATCATCATTGTCATCATAATCACAATCGCAAATAACATCATCGTTATTAATATAGTTGTTAGCATCATGATCATGATCATGATTATCATTATAATTATTGTTGTTCACAGCAACTGCATTACCACCTTAGCATCAGTAAGATTCATCATCATCATTATCATCATAATCATCAATATAAGTAATAGAAAGTAGTGTATCGGTAAGTAAATTCTGTCAATACCCACTTGATAATAGCATTAGGTGTTTATACATATAATACATGAATATATCAAAATTTTGTCGATAGAAAATGTTTTACTTACACTTATGAAATAGAAACTTGGATTTATAATGATCTATCTTTCAGATTTAAAAGTTCACTATCAACCCCTACCAAAATGTTTAAAACATGGACAAATTTAATTTCTCTCGAATTCATTTCTATAAGAAAATTTTCTCACAAGATGATTGTTTTCACAAACATGACTAATGAATTTAATTAGCATAATCTGGAAGGTATGCTGATAATTAAATGTAAAGCCCTTAAAAAGATTGCTCACTTCCCTTGCCAGAAAATTTTAAACTTATTCACTTTGTATCCAGATTTTATTATTGTTATAAGTACTTTGATCAAATATAACCTTATAAGACATATTATAGTTAAAGTTTCTTTCTCAGATAGATCTGACTGTCTCTTGTGAACAACCATAATCATTATTTTAAAATTTATATACCTGCGCATATATTGTATATTTCTGTAATTATCTCTATATTTCGAATACACTCAGCAATAGTTAAAACCTGACAGAGTATATTTTATTATTATTTTCAGGAAATCGATGACGAAAATGTAAGAACTAATGTTGGGCATGAAAAAGAGATGCATGCACAACATTGATATGCATTTTGCTGTTTATTAATTATGCTTGAGTTTGTTTAAAATACGCTAGTTCTAAGGAAAGGGTCAAATTCAATTTATCAATGTTGTGGCTATAACGTTTTGAAAACGTGCAGAATGGTTTTAATCATTTCATGAACAGTTTTAAAATGCATTGCGATTTTTTCATTTAATCCAATGTCGGTTGGGGCCACCTCTGGCTCTATAAGTAGTGCGACAACGCGTCGACGCATAGAATTGACGGAACGTTGAACATGGTTATTTGGAAGGTTGTTCCTTTCTGCAATCAATGCATGTGTCAGTTGGGGGATATTCTATTTGGCGTGATGTCATCGGACATTTCTACATCCCAGATATGTTCTATCGGATTCATATCTGGAGACATTGCTGGCCTTAGCGTGGTATTGGCGCTTGCTGCAGCTAAGCGAGCTCGAGTTATCCTCGCCGTGTGAGGACCACACAAAAACTTAACTTTTACGCTTAATTGCATTCTACCGACAATACGCGGTCAAAACAAAACAAAAACATGTATAGTGTATCTATAGTACATATGAAAAATAGTTTAAAGAAACACATATTTTATTATACAACAAAACTCTTATTTCTCTTCTTTAAAGCCAGATAGACAAATTTTGCAAGTTTTGCTAAAACAGATCTTTTTGGTGATGACATAGCTTATTGAATTCACTCATATAAGGCCATGTGTAATAACAATTATCTAAAAAGAGTTAAACGTAATTCTCTATAAAAAGGACATATTAACTAAAAAATGATACTCTGATTCAACTTGATTCATATTACATCTTCTACATAATCTTTCGCTTCTAATAATATTCCTATATTCCCATATCGACCTCTTCAATCTCTAAGTTGTGTGATAAACATCTAAATCTCGCTAGTGTTTTCATCTTATTCAAAATGGCAGCGGATTTGATGGTACATAAAACTGATACGTTTTGCAAAACCTGAACTATAACCCAAAATAACCTGCGAGTTTTCATTGACTTCTCTTGCTGTTAATTAATGTTACATTAAGTTTTACTCCTATCAGTTAAGTTTTTTAGTCTCAGGACGGAATCCAGAATGGCCACAAACATAAAAATTATAAGGGTTTACTAAATTCAAACCAGAATTTACTGTAATGCATGAACTGAAAGTGATCACGGTCAATTAATATCCAGAATGGCCACAAACATAAAAATTATAAGGGTTTACTAAATTCAAAACAAAATTTACTGTAATGCATGAACTGATAGTGATCACGGCCAAATAATATCATGTAGAAGATATTTATTATTTTACAAACAATTTTCCTAAAGTTTTAATGATTTGTATATGTTTTTATTAGCAATATCATATGGCACAAATATAAAGGAATATCGAATATTGAGAAAAAGGCCCAACTTTGTTAAGATAGATTTTATCTCTGTAACAAGTCATTTAAACAGAAAATGAAATGCACTGAGATGATATTAATTGCATTTTATTACATCCACATCATATTGAAAATGGCTTACAATATGGCATCAAAGGCTATCAAGTAAATGGCTGACAGAACAGGATATTGTTTTTGTGTGTGAAACATCTTTTATTTCTATATGGTGGTCGGTAGCGTCCTTTTTAAAGTCGCGAGATACTTAACCGTCAGTTTATAAAATGTCGCGGGCAACTTTTAAGTCGTATCTCGAAATTGTACAAAATGCCGCGGCTTATAGAAGCTCGAGTGTTTCTGATACGAGTTTTAAGGAAGAAACCGCGACATTTTCTGTAGACTTAGCAACGCAAACATATGCCTACTTTAAGTAGTAAATGGCGATCATTTACATTAGCGATATTTTATTTTATAAAGAACCGAGTTTGAGCATTTATCTTCGACTTTTAATGCCGGGAAATGTCTCTTTTAAAAAGTCGCGACTGAAAATTTCTATAACTCGCCATTTTTGTATTAGACCGTTGTTTTGGAACAAAAAATCTCGGTCTATGGCAACGCTTGAAAACTAATTGTCGTGTATTTCTTTCTGTTCTATGACTTTTTATTGACAAACAACGCATAAAATGAAGAGTCAAAACATGTACGCTACTATAAGCACTGGAGTCAAAAGGTTCCTTGATGTTTCCAACAACAGTTTAAACATATGGAAGTTTATACATCCAACGCAGCATTTTGAACGACTTTGGCAGAATAACTCGCTACGCGACATTTAAGGATAAAGCGATTTCTCGGTGGCTTAAAAATGGCTGCAACCGGTCACACTATTTTTAATATTTCAAGTGGTCAAATTAATAAAACATATACCTCTTAGGAATCAAACACATCTTTTTTTAATTATTTAAATGACACTTAGTAAAATTGCACAATGATGTATATGGGTATCGACCGTCATCTGGGCTCCATCTCATATTTCAATGTTGCAGATCGAAAATAAGTCAGTATTCGGTATTTAAGTAGCACTTCAGAATTTGGAATCCAAAGTGCGTTAATATGTAGCATATTAACGCACTTTGGGGGTCACTTTCTCAATTTTGACCCTAAAGTGCGTTTGACCAAGCCTCAAAGTGGGTTGTGAAGTTAACCGCACTTTCGTGTCAGTTACCAAAGTGGACTTGACTCCAAAGTGCGGTGTTACAAGGCCATGTTGTAAATAGAGTGTAACAATCTGTATATGTTGTAATGTGTTACCTTCTATTAATATAGTTATTATCATTATTTCTCTTTTAAGTTTCACGAATTTAATTAAGTTTGATTTTGTTGGAACAAAACAATACTAAGCAATGAGTGTACAGTTTCTTGCTCACGGAAACAATAGCTTGTCCCTGGCTGGGTTTGAGCCCACGAGGCCGGCAATCCTTTGAGTACTTGTCCGACGCGTTAACCACACAGCCATATCGCCACTAACTTTATTGATTATTTTTAATTAAGAATCTTTTAAAATTAAAATATCAGGCACATTCAATAAATACAATGAGTTAAACAATTAATTGTTTTAATTCGGTCATTTTCAGTCATGTATGTTGTAATTAGGCATGTAACATCACTTAAATGAAATTTTATATCGTTATGTTTATCATTATTCTTCTAAAACAATTTCCAAACATCCAAGAATATGTTACATATGTACTGCAAATTCGCACGCACGATAAGTTATCATTAAAATATATGCATTCATTTCTTATTGAAAAATTTGGCTTAGACTTTATCGAAAATAAGATTCTAATTACCTCCCTTGAACATCATATCTATGATACAAACCCAAAAAAATATTAAGTTACGGGATCTTAATGGAGATACTGT